GTAACTGAAAAATCTGTAACAACACCAAAAGAACTAACAACTACTGAGCTCTACACTGTAGCAAAGGAGGAAACGACAACACCTACAGAAAGATTCAATGAAACAGAAGAAGAGTTGACACACACAAAAGGTTTCACTGTAACTGAGAAATCAGTAACAGCAGAAATACCAACAACTAATTACGTTTACACTCTATCACAGCAAGAAGTTACAACACCAAGACAAAGATTCAATGAAACAGAAGACGACGTCACACACAAAGAAAGTTTCACGGTAACTGAAAAATCTGTAACAACACCAAAAGAACTAACAACTACTGAGCTCTACTCTGTAGCACAGGAGGAAATGACAACACCTTCAGAAAGATTCAATGAAACGGAAGCAGAGTTGACATCCAAAAAACCGACAACAACTGAAGTCTACACTGTACCACAGGAGGAAATGATAACACCCAGACAAAGATTAAATAGAACAACAGAGAAGTTGACGCCCAGAGAAGGTTTCACTGTGACTGAGAAATCAGTAACAACAGAAATACCAACAACTAATTACGTTTATACTCTATCACAGCAAGAAGTTACAACACCAAGACAAAGATTCAATGAAACAGAAGACGACGTCACACACAAAGAAAGTTTCACGGTAACTGAAAAATCTGTAACAACACCAAAAGAACTAACAACTACTGAGCTCTACTCTGTAGCACAGGAGGAAATGACAACACCTTCAGAAAGATTCAATGAAACGGAAGAAGAGTTGACATCCACAAAACCGACAACAACTGAAGTCTACACTGTACCACAGGAGGAAATGATAACACCCAGACAAAGATTAAATAGAACAACAGAGGAGTTGACACCCAGAGAAGGTTTCACTGTGACTGAGAAATCAGTAACAACGGAAGCATCAACGACTACTGACCTTTACACTGTAACTCTGGGGAAAGTAACAACACCAAGACCAAGATTCGGTGAAACAGAAGACGACATCACACACAAAGAAAGTTTCACGGTAACTGAAAAATCTGTAACAACATCAAAAGAACTAACAACTACTGAGCTCTACACTGTAGCACAGGAGGAAATGACAACACATACAGAAAGATTCAATGAAACGGAAGAAGAGTTGACATCCAAAAAACCGACAACTACTGAGGTCTACACTGTAGCACAGGAGGAAATGATAACACCCAGACAAAGATTCAATAGAACAACAGAGAAGTTGACACCCAGAGAAGATTTCACCGTGACTGAGAAATCAGTAACAACGGAAGCATCAACGACTACTGACCTTTACACTCTAACTCAGGGGAAAGTGACAACACCAAGACAAAGATTCGGTGAAACAGAAGACGACTTCACCCACAAAGAAGATTTCACTTTAACTGAAAAATCAATAACAACGGAAGTACCAACGACTACTGACGTTTACACTGTAACTGAGGGGAAACTGGCATCAACTCAAGAGATATACGATGAAGGAGAACGGTTGACATCCAAAAGAGGTTTTACAGTAACTGAGAAACCAGGAACAACACTGGAACTTTATGAATTAGGAAAGGAAAATAAAACTATTACTACTACTGACAACTACCCTGTAACACAAAAACAAGCAACAGTACCTAGAGAAAAATATAACTTGACACGCAAGGATGGTTTTGCTATATCTGAGGAATCAGTAACCCAACTGCCTTCGTCATTTTTCCTCCCAAGTAAAGAATGGACGACATATTTCACACAATCTTCCACTCCATCAACAGAAGTTTCAAAAGAGGTTACAAGAAATATTACTCAAGCCAAAGAGTATTCACATGAAAGGAAGGAATGGTCAACTTATTCTCCTGTGAAAGTACATGCTGTCATAACAAGTATTATTGACGAATCTCTAATATTAGAAGAATTGAATTCAACTCGGCATTCTTTAGAGGAAACAGAGATTATGACATCAACACTTCCAACATTCGAAACTTCGAAAATCTCAGTATTCTCTAGAAATATTTCTGATGCAACGCAAGCTACCACAGAAATAAATGCAGAACTACCGAAAACAACAATAACATTGAACACATCAACTGTACCTATTGCTACTCTTCTCACCAGTTCAACTACCCCTTCATCAGGTATAACATTTGTAGATGTTGCTAAAGAAACAACCCTGGCTTCAACTGAAGCTACAAAGGATCAAGATGTTCAAGAAAGAACCGAAGCCAGAGTTTTAGAATTGACACCTAGCTCTTTTACACCAACAGACGAGGTTGGAGATGAAGTAACCACTAGCTTTGTTGCATTAACAGATAAAACAGTAGAAGCCATTACATCTGTTGAAATTGAAAAGATGAGTTCAAGTTTGTCTTCAACCTCGAGTTATCAGAGTTCGCTAAATAAAACGGAACTAGAAGATATTGAAGTAAAAAAATTATCAGCTAAAAATGATGACGATTCAATTTCTACTACAGAATCAACCACTGTTCCGTACGTCGCACAAACAACAACACCACGACAACCAGGTAAGATTTTGAAGTTTTACCTTTACTAATATTTATTATACGAAACTTTTAGACCATATGAAATTGTCCAGTTAGTTTAATTCTAGTAAAGATTGTCCAGTTAGTTTAATTCTAGTAAAGATTGTCCAGTTAGATTAATTCTAGTAAAGATTGTCCAGTTAGTTTAATTCTAGTAAAGATTGTCCAGTTAGTTTAATTCTAGTAAAGATTGTCCAGTTAGTTTAATTCTAGTAAAGATTGTCCAGTTAGATTAATTCTAGTAAAGATTGTCCAGTTAGCTTTATTCTAGTAAAGATTGTCCAGTTACTTTAATTCTAGTAAAGAATATTAAACTTGTTTTAATACAACCGTTTGGAATACTAAACTTGTTTTAATATAACCATTTCGAATAATAAACTTGGTTTAATATAACATTCCAGAATAATAAACTTGTTTTAATATAACAATCCAGAATAATAAACTTGTTTTAATATAACCATTCGGAATAATAAACTTGTTTTAATATAACCATTCAGAGTAATAAACTTGTTTTAATATAACCATTTCGAATAATAAACTTGTTTTAATATAACCATTCAGAGTAATAAACTTGTTTTAATATAACCATTTCGAATAATAAACTTGTTTTAATATAACCATTCAGAATAATAAACTTGTTTTAATACAACCATTCAGAATAATAAACTTGTTTTAATATAACCATTAGGAATAATAAACTTGTTTTAAGATAACAATCCAGAATAATAAACTTGTTTTAATATAACCATTCAGAATAATAAACTTGTTTTAATATAACCATTCAGAATAGTAAACGTGTTTTAATATAACCATTCAGAATAATTCACATGTCCATCAACATAAAACAAAGAAATCTAGCCTTCACACAACGATTTCAAGAACTGTTGTTAGCCCTAATTTCATTCCGTACGTTTTTTCAACAGTGTGTATTTTTGACGGAAGAATTTATCAATCAGCTGAACAGATTCGAAGAGCTGATCCTTGTGAATTTTGTTTCTGTTTCCGTGGTGATATCCTCTGTATTAAACAGACGTGCCCGCCCCCTAGCGTCGGTTGCAAAGCCGTATCTATAAATGGATTCTGTTGTCCACGCTATGAATGTCGTAAGTATATATATTTTTTAATTAAATTATTTTAAGTTAATCAAAATTATACATTTTAAACACATAGATTTATTATTTTATTATAACATAAATTTTAGATAGATACATTTGACTCGTGAGTCGATCATTCAGAAGTTGTCATATTTTGTTAGCAGCTTTAGATAAGAGAAAATCCGCTAGGAAATGTCTTCTTATAATCTTCTGCAAAAGTTTAGGGTCCGATCTCTTACTTAAAAAAAAAAAAACAGAATAAAGCAGGATACTCCCAAAGCAAGACTATTTTGGTTGGTGCCATTACATTTTGATATTAATTTACATTGTAAGAGTGAATTTTTCAACACTTTCATGACACTTATAGCACTGTTCGCGCTAACCAAAAATAATAATAAATGTTTTCTAATTATTTATTTTCAATTTCATTGGTTGGTTTGTAATAAATCATATCTTTGTTCTCTTTTGATTGGATTTAACATTTTTTGAACGACATTCCATTCGAATGCCTCATCTTCCAACTTTGCAATTGCAACTAAGATTACGGTAAATGTGACTTTTGAACATTTTCCAGTTTATATAGACTAGTTTAACACAGAAAACAAATAAATTATTCTGCACAATGCAATGTACTTTAGCCAAAATGTTGACACAAACAGGAGGAAAAACTAGTTTGAACCAAAATGTTGACACAAACAGGGGGAACTAGTTTTAAACAAAATGTTGACACAAACAGGGAGAAAAACTAGTTTTAACCAAAATGTTGACACAAACAGGGGGAAAACTAGTTTTAACCAAAATGTTGACACAAACAGGGGGAAAACTAGTTTTAACCAAAATGTTGACACAAACAGGGGGAAAACTAGTTTTAACCAAAATGTTGACACAAACAGGGGGAAAACTAATTTTCAAATGCAGATAGATAAACCGAAGAGAAGAAAAAATTGTATTGTTCCCAAATTATGAATAAATTATCGTTGAAGGCAATATATTGTGATGACCAAAACAGCCTCATATCTGTACTATCATCTCTCAATTTTAGGGTTATAATGTTCCAATTTTAAAATAAACACTTCAAGTTTGATTTAAAACATTTAAATTTAATCAAAATATTGAACTGAATTTATGCAATCATCTAAGTCCTTCCGTTTAAAATGAATACTCAGCATTTTGGATAACTAGACCAACTAAGGATAACTGTATAATTGTCAGTTATAAATAAACTTCATCCTTACATCGTTCTATTTTCCATACTTCCAGCAGTGAAGATGATGAACATGACGATGACGACTGAACATCCACCAACTAAACTGCGCAGAGTGCTAAAACGGTCGGTGAAAGTAGAAGGTACGACTTAAAACTTCACTGCGGTTCGGGTTTAGGGATAATTTTAACTTTTAGTTGACCTGTTACTGACATCGAAGCTTACTTTCAAAAATGCGCTGGAAGTTTCGGTTGAGAATGTACTGGGTTCTCAGATCTGTAAAACCTGAGTGCAGACTTCGGTTGAGAATATATCAAGTAGAAACCTGAAGGAAAGATCAAGTCAAAAATGTAATAGATTCTTACATTAAGTAAAGGCCTGAGTAGAAGTTTCAGTTAAGAATGTAATTGGTTTCCTACATTAAGTGAAGGCCTGAGTAGAAGTTTAAGTTAAGAATGTAATAGATTCTTACATTAAGTGAAGGCCTGAGTAGAAGTTTCAGTTAAGAATGTAATTGGTTTCCTACATTAAGTGAAGGCCTGAGTAGAAGTTTAAGTTAAGAATGTAATTGGTTTCCTACATTAAGTGAAGGCCTGAGTAGAACTTTCAGTTAAGAATGTAATGGTTTCCTATATTAAGTGAAAGCCTGAGTAGAAGTTTCAGTTAAGAATGTAATTGGTTCCCACATTAACTGAAGGCCTGAGTAGAAGTTTCAGTTAAGAATGTAATGGTTTCCTACATTAAGTGAAGGCCTGAGTAGAAGTTTCAGTTAAGAATGTAATTGGTTTCCTACATTAAGTGAAGGCCTGAGTAGAACTTTCATTAATGTAGGAAACCAATTACATTCTTAACTTCTACTCAGGCCTTCACTGAAACTTAATGTAGGAAACCAATTACATTCTTAACGTGAAGGCCTGAGTAGAAGTTTCAGTTGAGAATGTAATTGGTTCCTACATTAAGTAAAAGCCTGAGTAGAAGTTTCAGTTAAGAATGTAATTGGTTCCTACATTAAGTAAAAACCGAAGTGGCAGTTCCAGTTCAGGATTTAATGTATTCTTACATTAACTAAACTTTGTGGGAAAGTTTCATTTGAGGATGTAATTATTCTTTAAGTAAATAAAAACCTTAGAAGATTATCAGTAAAGAACGTCAAATTCCCTAGTTCTCAAAGAAGTTTAAACACTATAATCAGACTGATTTAGGACTCATTTAAAATATAAAATGAAATGCAGATTTATATTTTTGAAAATTGCGTTTTATGCCATTTTTATTACTATTTGAAATCAGTAAGTGTTATTACGTTCACAGGTTGTCAAATAAACAACGAATTCTACACAGTCGGAGAAAGGATATCGTCAATGAGTAACCCATGTATGCGGTGCCGATGTGGACAAAAGGGTTTAATGATATGCGATCCCCATCCTTGCCAACACGAGGCATCATTACTCTTACAGATGAATAAGAAGTTTTTTGGAAGTCGATAGATGGGACGTATTCTGCACTTAACTGTGTACATTCCTTATGTGACACCAGAGGCTGCTAACAAGCTGATACCACTGGTTCATCATTGAACCCAGCTTATTATATGCCGCTTTCATATCATTGTTTTTGTTGTTTGTGATGGACGATGTCCTGTTTGATCGCTATGTTTCACATCTAGAATGGCAATTATACACAGCATGTACCACTAGCGGTTTTTAAATACGTTAAAATTTCGCTTTCCAGCATTTTGCTGTACTCAGAAGCATTATTTAACGATAATGTAACAGGAAGACAGAAGTGTAAATTTAACTTTAGTATTAACATTGTTTTTTTTTTTGTACTGGGGCCAGTATTTTGTGTCATCAAAAAAAGTCTAACTTGCCCATCGGGTTCGGTCGTTAATTTCCATAGTGCCAAAACATTCCAAAAGATGGCGCCCATTTGCGCCTCTCTCATCGTGCTTTTTTATTAAATAGTTCCATTTTAGTTGTACACTTTTGATGTTTTTACTGCTGAAATTCACTTCAAACAACTAATAGCAGTAATTACTACAGGCAGTTACTTCAGATATTAGCTAGTTTAGCCAACATCAATTATTTCATAAGTATTTATTATTACCAAATAAAACTTTGAATATAAGCATACGATTGGCTAATGCTTAGTGTTGTCTTGTAAATCCCGCACAATGGGCTTAAATTAAAACGTTTACTAATAACAATTTGTATTATATGCTGATATATATGTAATGGACTTTTAACTGATGTTTCTAATAATTCAGTTGTTGCAAATATTTCCAAAAATGCTCAAGAGATGGCGCATATTGTGATGATTTGTAATAGTGATATTTGAAGGATGGAAATGACTATGACTATCTGTATTTGTACACGACATTTAATTTAAGGGGTACTAGTCTTGCTCATAACAGGGTTAACTGGTTATTGAAGTAGTTACTGGTTTTTTGGATAATTAGCTCAAAATGGGTAAGGTTTCACTTCCGTCTTTTCTATTTCTCATACGTTTAGTCATAAGTTCATTTCCATTTTTGAGAAACAATGTATAAACAATATTGGGGATGGTCTAATAAATATACTACAGTTGTACGTTACTGTGTAGCACTTTTCTGGTTTGTTATAACAACACAGTAAAACGAATTGACCAATCGTGAACAGACACTTTGTTATGGTTATCATTTTTAAAATTATAAATACCTTTTAACCGACTTAGAAAAAAAGAGTAGTTAATTTTACACATTTACACTAAACACTGGGCAACTGAATATTGAATAGACCTATGAATAACATCAATACGACATTTGTAAAGAGAATAAATCATTTATATATTTTAACACAAAACGGTAATATTACGACATACTACATGTTACTAGTAGCAACATTAAGACACTAAACGTTACCAGTAGTAATATTAAGACACATTGTACGTTACAAGTAATGAAATTATGGGACACGTCACAGTAGAATTAAGCCAAATTGCACGTTAGCAGTAGCGACGTGATGTTGTTTGTAATTAAGCTACACAATAGACTATCTGTGCTCTGCCCACCACAGGTATCGAAACCCGGTTTCTAGCGTTGTAAGTCCGCAGACATACCGCTGTGCCACTGGGGGGCGTAGTGACGTGAAGACATACAACATTGAAACACATTACATGTTAGCACTAGTGACCTGAAGGCATGTTAATGTTAACAGTACCATTAAAACACACTTTTAGTAGTAGCCTTAAAGAGCGCTAACATGTTGAATTAAACGTTATTAAACTTTTTACCTCTGCGGGTTTGAATTTTTGTTGCTGAGTTTGAAGTTTAAGATTAATTTGTGGTTTAGTTTGTCCTATTATTATAAACACCACAGAACTTTCGATAATAATTACTGTTACGATAGCGGAGGTCACGTGACGCTAGTAACATGTCATATTCTCGAAGCTTAGTGAATCCACGGGAGGTTACTAGATTTTGGTCAAGACGTGACGGCAACAATGTAATGCTGTGTAATTGAACTGCGGACAGAGAGAGAGTATTGATGAGTCGAGCACGTGAGGCGTTCGTTGTGAATTATTGCGTTTGTTATAGCGTGACTGTGGAAATTAAGTGTATTACAAAGCTGTATTCAGAAAGAATAAACCAGTTTTATTTAAGAAAGGACTTGTATCGCTAAAGTTTCTTCGGAAAGAATTTTTACGGAAAATGAACTAACGAATGGAGGTGTAACAAATTGGTGTCAGAGAGTGGGACAAAAAAATGGAAACGAGAAGCGGCAAATCAAACTACAGCTTAGCAGACTTGATGGCAGCAATACAAGAGCAGCAAAAGAAACAAGAAGAACGATAAAATAAACAAGAAGAGAGATTACAGCAGTGGTTGGAGGAAAAAGAAAATAAACAAGAAGAGAGATTGCAGCAGTTGTTGGAGGAAAAAGAAAAGAA